TTACAACTATGATCTGGTCACCACCGGCAATACCTTTAAAATAAGCTAAAATAATAATTAATGGCAACGCAATGGCCCTCTCCCGCTCTAAACGGAGAGGCACCCTCAATTTTCCCCTCGGCCGAGCCCGTCCGGGTCGCAGGCGCGGCGCGACTTGTCACGTCACACACGTGTACAACGATCACGTAAATACCGACATGCCATACGATGAATTTTGCTCGTTGTGCCACGATTGTTGGCAACAAAAGTATAGATTCGTAGTGATAGACAAAAACAGTGCGCTTTCAAACGGCCAATACAGAAAAAGATTTAACGTGTTTGCGATACCGCAAAAGCGGTCAGTCGTCGCTGATACGTCGTCGAAGGTGAAACGTTAGCGTTATAGAGATCGACACTCTTCTTTGTTTTCTCCACGATGGCTGCAATCGACAGGAGCGAGAATATTCGCGAACGCGAGAAGATCGTGAAAAAAATTGCGAAAACAAGTGATACGATTCGCAAGAAACTTCGCGCTTTAAACACCAGTAAAATAGAAAAAGACATTGAGTTGGACACGCACTTTAGGCCTCTCATCGGACCGCTGAAAAAGATCGTCGACAACTCGAGTTTGATCGCGGTGAAGAAAGAGGAGCCAATGGAGAGCGACGCTGACGCGGGGATCGAAACGCTATCCGTTCAACAGCGCGGGGAGAAGAAGGAAAAGGATGCTACACCGAAAAAAAAGAAGAAACTGTTGAGATTAAATGTTAATCGCGTTTCCATGATATCTCGCGATGTGCACGACTGTACATTGATCACGCCTATCGATATACTGATACAAACTAGAATCGAGACGAGCGCCGGATCTATCCTTGTTGGCATGCGCGAGCACGCGGAAACTCGAGCCGGTTGGTCTCGCCGTACATCTAGTCAGTCGCAATAGAGAAATCAGTTGTTGAACACGCGCATTATATAGTTCTGCTAAATAAAGCATTGTAAAAGACTAACGACTGCAAGTGAATAAACCTGTTTCTCTCCTGCTCCGTTTCTCACAACCAGACTGCTCATAACAGGTTATGGGCCCAGTTTCCGTAATCTGTGCAACAATTGTGTGAAAGGTGGAGAAAGGTTCCGAAAAGTTTTGCGAGACACGAGGCAAATCGGAAAAATCGGCCATCTTGAGTCGCGAGTGAGTGCTTGTAACGGACACGTGCGAGCAAGAGATTTGCATCTGCGATGTTTGCGGGGATCTCAGTGAAAGGGATCAAGAACTTTGACGGGACAAACTTCCAGGCATGGAAAGCCAGATAAATGCGCTGTTCGTGATGAACGACGTTCAGGACGTGGTCGATGGCACGAGAACCATGTCGGCTGCCGCTGCCGCAAACCAGGCTAAGGTGAAGAGGTTCAAAAAGGACAACGCCACAGCACAGTACATCATCTTATCGTCAATGGAAGAAGAGCAACAAGTGTGTGTGCTATCCTGCGAGAGTGCAAAAGCCATGTGGGACAAACTCGGACTCATACACGAACAAAAATCCGAACAAAAATCCGAGACGAACAAGCTGGGGCTGCTGCAAAAATTCCATGCTTATTGCATGAGCGAGGGAGACACGGCGGTGCAGCACGTGGCGAAGATTCAGAACATGGCGAGTCAGCTCAGAGATATCGGCGAGGCGGTGTCTGATGCGACGATTATGGCGAAGACTCTGGCGAGTCTAACCTCACGGTTTAGCACGCTACAAATTGCGTGGGACAGCGTAGACCCGGCTCGACAAACGCTGAATAACCTACAAGAAAGGCTTATACGAGAGAACATGCGACTCAGTGCGGATGAGGACGCAGCGAGTGCGTTAACCGCAACGAAAAAGGGGAGAGAAAAGAAGAAACCGTTTAAGCCAAAAAGAGACACAAAGGACATCAAGTGTTATAAGTGCAACGAGATGGGACATTTCGCACGACAATGCAGAAATGCGCGGCGAAAGAAAGGTGACGATGAAAAATCTTGCGAGTCTCGCGATTGCGCGTTTGTGGTGGAAACCGGAGTGAAGCCGAGTGCAAAGCATGCGCAAAGCGGTCGCGTGAAATCCGGCAGCAATCAAGTGAAAGAGATAATGGCCGCAAAGCAGAGCGAGATTTGGCTTATCGACAGTGGAGAGTCGCGACACCTTACTTACCGACGTGAGTGGTTGACGGACTACCGAGAGAACAAAGACGGCGGAGAGATTTCGCTTGGCGACAATGAGGTATGTGGTATTGTCGGGGAAGGAACAATACAAATCAAGAAGTTGATCGACGGTGTGTGGCGAGATGCGCACATCGAAAACGTATTGCTAGTTCCGAAACTTTGAAAGAACTTATTCTCGGTGGGCGCGTGTACAAATATCGGTTTCGAAGTGCGCTTTAAAGAGGACTGCGTCGAAATAATACGCGACGACAGAGTAGTCACGACGGAAGTGAAACAGGGCAACAACGTTTGTCGTATGTTATTTAAAGTCGTGAAACCGGGAAGTGTCGAGGAGGCGAATGTCGCGACAACAAATTTGACTGTGTGGCACGAACGGTTGGGGCACGTGGGCAAACGCGCGATACATGAGCTAGCAAAAAAGGGTTTGGTGAGTGGAGTATCGCTCTCCAATGAAGCCGACTTTTTCTGCGAGCCGTGCCAGCTGGGGAAAGCCCATAGACTGCCATTCAAGAAGAATTCGGAAAAAGTGAAAACGGAGCCCGGCGAGAAAATACACACGGACGTGTGTGGGCCAATGTCCGTAGAGTCACCCGGTGGATCGAGATACTTCCTGACATTTAAAGACGACGCGAGTGGTTATAGACACGTATATTTCTTAAAACAAAAATCTCAAGTGTACGAAAAGTTCAAAATCTTCGAAAAGATGATATCGAACAAGTTCGGGCGTTCAATCAAAATTTTGAGATTGGATAACGGCCGCGAGTTTTGCAATAAACAAATGGACGAATATCTCGCATCGCGCGGTATAAGACGAGAGACAACCGCGCCTTACACCCCGGAGCAAAACGGGAAAGCCGAGCGGGACAACCGTACAATAGTCGAGAGTGCGCGTACTATGATTCACGCGAAGAGTCTGCCTCTAAATCTGTAGGCAGAGGCAGTGAGTTGTGCGATCTATGTTTTGAACAGAACCGTGTGGTCGAGTGATAGAGTTACATCATGCGAAATGTGGGTGGGGAAAACTCCAGATTTAAGTCACTTGCGAATCTTCGGTTCGGAGGCGTTCGTACACATTCCAAAACAGTTCACGCAGAAACTCGACGCTCGGGCGCGAAAGGTAATCTTCGTGGGTTATAAGGACAACTCCGCTATTTACAGATTGTACGATCCCGTGACGAAAAAGGTAAGCGAAGCGAGGGATGTCGTTTTCAACGAGCAAATCGGTAAGGTATCTACAAAGATGGAACCGCAAGATAAAAGCGAAGAAGAAGACGAGATAGCGCTTCCGGGAACCGGAATGGAGCAAGATGAAGAGAGCCAGAGTGAGAGCGAAGAAGAGGAAGAGGCACCAGAAGGCGCAGCTGCTGTGAAGGCAAAAACTGCAGTACCGGTAGCAACAACTCCTCCGGTTACCCCGCATACACTCAGAGATAGGTCAAAAATCAAAACTCCGTTGAGATATATACAATGCGCTCGTAGCCGAGTATATGATTCCCAATACATACAAGGAAGCTATGGATAGCACAGAAGCCACGCAGTGGGCAAGTGCGATAAAAGACGAGTTAAGGGGATGCTAAAGCCGTCCAAATTACCGACAATTACATTTCAAAGCTCTTATTTTGAAACGGTTTTACAGATCGCAAAATCCTTTTACAGGAGTAAAGTAGAGGTACTAATGAAGGGTGGGATTGTCAAATAATTAGTAATAATTGAAAAAAATTTTTAAATGCTGTCACCTCATAACCTTATTTTCTGATATAAACAGTTGTATACGTAATACGTACAAAATTAAATTTTCCCACCCTTCAGAAGACGTGCACAAACAATAACGTACCTTTGAAATTGAGATTGAAAGCCTGAAATAAAAATGAGAGCTTTGAAACGATCGTGTATATTTTTCACAAAAATATTCACGCAGAGCAGCAATTATGTCACAGCAGTAGTTCACGGATCTTGCGAGAGATGGCGCGATGGCGCACGCAGCTGTGGGCAGTTTCGGGGTTGGCTACATTGTCTGGTTCCTACACAGCAATCGAACCAGGACAGATATATGATACAGATATCTCGTTAGGCATTTTTACATTTTTTTTCAATTATTACTAATTATTTTACAATCCCACCCTTCATTAGTACCTAAACTTTACTCCTGTAAAAGGATTTTGCGATCTATAAAGCCGTTTCAAAGAACGAGCTTTGAAAGATATGTGGTACAGATATCGCGTTAGACATTTTTTTCAATTATTACTAATTATTTTACAATCCCACCCTTCATTAGTACCTAAACTTTACTCCTGTAAAAGGATTTTGCGATCTATGAAGCCGTTTCAAAGAACGAGCTTTGAAAGGTATGTGGTACAGATATCGCGTTAGACATTTTTACATTTTTTTCAATTATTATTAATTATTTTACAATCCCACCCTTCATTAGTACCTAAACTTTACTCCTGTAAAAGGATTTTGCGATCTATGAAGCCGTTTCAAAAAACGAGCTTTGAATGATATGTGGTACAGATATCGCGTTAGACATTTTTACATTTTTTTCAATTATTACTAATTATTTTACAATCCCACCCTTCATTAGTACCTAAACTTTACTCCTGTAAAAGGATTTTGCGATCTATGAAGCCGTTTCAAAGAACGAGCTTTGAGAGATATGTCGTACAGATGCCTCGTTAGACAAGGACACATATCTCTCGTATTATTCCTTTCTCTCCTATGTATGTAATTTGCATGCACCCATTTATTCCTCTCTCTCTTTCTCTCCCCCTCTCTCATCCCTGTCCCTCTCTCTCTCTCTCTCTCTCTCTCTTACAAGTACACTGGGTAGCTACTCTTAGTATGGTAAAATCAGGATTTTCTGGAAGAGTGGTGTTAGGATTCTAGGGTATATTTGAAGAAAGAAAAACGGTAATGTAATTTAGGACAAGAAACTCTATTTATTATAGTTTATATAATGATTATTATTTATATAATGTTATATAATATAAATATATAGTTTATATAATAATTATTATAGTTTATATATAATGATTATATATATATATATAAGGCCATCTTGACGCCGACGGCGGCGCGTACGGGGGCGCGTATGGGGGCGCGTACGGCGGCGCGTATGGCGTCGCGTATGGCGGCGCGTATGGGGGCGCGTATGGGGACGCGTATGGAGGCGCGTATGGGGGCGCGTATGCTGGCTGTGGCGGCGTGTATGCTGGCTGTGGCGGCGTGTACGCCGTCGGTGGAGTATACGCTGGCTGCGCTTGTACTCCACCGGCGTACTTCATGTTTTTCCCAAGGTTTCTCCGCTGGTTCTGCAGCGCTCGACGCACCACATGATTTGCGATCTGTAAAAAAAAATTTGTATAAGTATAGAATGAATCATTTTAATCGACGCATGCATGCACGCTCGCTACATTGCTGTAGCGGCCCTTACTCTACTTACCTTATGCATTGCGCTCGCTCGCTTTCTCTCCTTGCTTTGTGGTAGCGACGGTGTCGGTGGCGGTGTCGGTGGCGGCGGCGGTGGCGTCATCGTCGTTGACATCGGTGTCGATGGCAGAGGCGGAGGCGGCGGCGGCATTGCCGCATTTGCTGTCGTCGTTGATGGCGGAGGCGGCGGCGGCATTGCCGCCGTTGCTGTCGTCGTTGATGGCGGAGGCGGCGGCGGCATTTTCGCCGTTGCTGTCGTCGTCGATGGCGGAGGCGGCATTTTCGCCGTTGCTGTCGTCGTTGATGGGGTCGGTGGCGGCAGCTTGTTCGCCACAACTTCCTCACTTTTGGCTGAAATAAAAAAAATAAAATTACTATATTTGTAATAAATTTTATATAAATAAAGTTTATCCAATCAGCACCGTTTTTTACAAGGATATACATTCGTGAGCCACGTGCCTCTATATTATATTTCGATGCGCTCGCTTCACGGAAGTATATCCATTCATAAAACAGTACTAATTGTAAGTAACGCGTTACTTGTAACGCCGTTACCATTACCGTTATCTTTTTATAGTAACAATTTGGTAATGACATGACGTTTTTCCATAACGGTAATGGTCACGACGTTACAAGTAATGCGTTACTTCCCAACCCTGAATTTATACAAGTGCTGGAAGATGAAAATTCACGCACGTGTTGCATACCCTATTTTATGTTGTAAGTGCGTGGAAAGTGGCCTATCACGCACGCGTCGCGTGTGTGATAGGCCACTTTCCATGCACGTGTGACATAAATGTAATACTTACATTTACGATATATCCGCCGTGGTTTATCCTCCATCGCGGTCACGCGGTCACGCCGGTCACCAAGAGTTCCCGCCGAACCCGAACGCATTTTACGTTCCCGACGGCCGTCGTTGCGGCTGCTTTCTTTCTCTCTCTCTCTCTCTCTCTCTCTCTCTCTCTCTCTCTCTCTCGCTCTCCTGGTCGTTATTGCTCACACTTTCTTCCTCGCGCACTTCTTTCCCGCTTTCCTTTCTCGCCTCGTTGTCCGTTTGTCCGTCCGTCCTTCCGTCTTTCCGTCATTCGCTCGCTCGCTCGCTCCTTCACTTGGTCGCCCGACCGCGCACTCCACTCCGGGACGGAAGAGAGGGACAAACAACGCGCGTTTTATCAAACGCGTCTCCGCTCGCGGCACGATGCACGTATATAATACACGCGATACTCGCCATTTCCGGCTCACGCCGTGCCTCGCGACGGGCCGACCCTGCCGACCGGTCACTCACGACGCAGGATTCCGCGGGACCGTCGCAGGATTCCGCGGGACCGTCGCGTATTCAAATGGGCACGGGCAGGGCACTGGCACTGAGACTGAGGAGCTGCCCGGGCTGCTTAGGGGTCGGGGGGTCTCGATCACGTGAAACTTTTTCTATCGCATGTTTTTTTTACTTCGCTGAGTTCGGTCTATCCTTGCGACGGAAAACAAACAAATCGCGCTTAGAAAATGACATCCATATTCTGTCTCTCTCGCGCTGCATTTTTGCTGCTCGCCGAGCTGCTATAGCCGGCTTGACAAACGACGTGACAATTGTTTCCGTTTTCAATGATATCGCGCCGGAAAGTAATTGTCACGCAGCGAACGGCAAGCATTGCGACGAATTTGCGATGAATTCGCTCGCTGCTCACTGCTCGGCGTGGTATCATTTTGAAGCTGGAAAATAAATTCAATAATAATGAAATAATAATTTTTCTATTATAAATTCTTGCCTAATTATTTATTTTAATGTACATTTAATTAAAAAAAAAAAAAATTGGGAAAAGCAGGGTTTGAACGCGCGACCTGCAACGTCTCAGTTCGTCACCTCAGTCGCTGCGCCACGCTTGCTACATGGCTATCTCGGTTGCGTACTCGGTACATCAGTCGCACGAGAAGTTTCAATACTTTCTTGCAAATACTTGAAAAATGCATCGCGTTGCTTGCTCCGTTTCAAGTAAAACTTACTCTGTTTCGAGGGGAACATCTTGATGGACACGTTTTTCCTGAGATTTTAAAGTAACCTTTGTTTTTTTTCAATAGAATCATACAATCTTTTTTATATAACATAATTTCTGTAGTTATTTAGCACATAAAGTAGGTAAGCTAGCAGTTATAAAAAAAATCAATATTTTGCAAGATGTTATATTTTATTCTGGCATATATTTTGACATAAAATATAAAATATCTTATAAACTATTCATTTTTTGATAACTGTACCTACTTTTATGCGTAAAATAGTGGAACGAGTAAGTTGATTTAAAGACAACGCATAGTTGCTTTTTTAAAAAAATAATGCAATTTGTAATGTGCAATTACATACTTTTTTTGGAAAGTAACTATGTTTTTCTCACATTAATTGATTCGTCTCACTATGCTACATATAAAAGTATCAATATATATAATATCAAATATCGCGTAAACTATTAATTTTTTGATAGCTTTACCTTTATACTTTTATATGCCAAATAAGTAGAGAAATTATATTATATAAAGAAAATTGTATGATTCCATTAAAATAAACAAAGGTCACCTTAAAATCTCAGGAACACCTTCACTTAAGAAAAACGTGTTCATCGTAAGATATGTTCCCCTCAAAACAGAGTAAGTTTTACTTGAAACGTTTTTCAATGAAATCATCCGTTCGCAAAATATAGCGCTGTCAAATTTATAATGGGACACCCTTTGTATAAATAATTTTTAATATTTCATTGGTAAAGCTGTTATCTATTTCTAAATCATGGTCTTTACTCTATATCGAATTGACGCAAAGTCAGAAAGCTTAGTGTATGTATATACTGTGTATTGATGTAGAATGAACCGAAAAAACGAATAGAAATGTTGTACAACAGTTTGCAATTATTCAATAAACATAACATAATTATGATAAAAACAAAAAGATAAAAATATCAACCAGTATTTGAAAGCGACCATTCATCGACGCATCGACGTCGATTGCACTAATTTATTCCTGACAGAGTACGTAATGTGAATCTTTTTACTTTTAGATTTCGAATAGATTTTTAGTACGGGCAGTATATATCGGAACACGGCCGTAGTATGTAAATAATAATATCATGATGTTTCCGCGGTATTTATAATATGTATTATGATATTCGCTCGAGCCGATACATATTTTTACAAATTCATATTTATGCATTTGTAGTAGATATTAGGAATATTCTTTGAACGATATTCTTTACTAATTCCTTGATATGAATTCGTACTAATACGTACCGGCTCCAGCGAATGACATAGTACTAATACCGCGGATAAAATGCCGTAATATATCATTTACCGCATTTACATGGCACATATTACGGCCTTCTTCTTACGTGTACTGCCACTACACAAATCTATTCCAAATGTAAATATGTAAAAAATCACATTACGTATGGTACAGATTTTCAGTACTGGTAATGTAAACACGATCTACGTGTGTATATGTTTATGACAAATCAACGACGATCGCGGAGTGAGATAGATAGATAGATAGATAGATACTGTCGCGAGTGTCGCGACGATAGTGTAGTGACGCGAGTGTAATAACGTGATACAGTGAAGTGAACAGTGAAGTGAACGGTAAAGTGAGTATTGGAGACTAAGGAGGACTATAAGGAAATAAATATGGGTGTGAAACGTTTGGAGAGGAAGAAGCCTTGGTATTTACACAGACTGTCCCGGAAGAAAGGAGCGTTACAAAGGTTAGTATACATTATGCATTTATGATAACACTTTGATGAATATTTATTATACAAATCCCTCAAGCCTACTTAGAATTTGATCTATTCACTCGTTATTGAGATCTCAAAATTTCGGGTACTTGCAACTCGTGCGTTTGGGTAAAAGAGTCACGGTGAGCTCTCGCTCCGCGTGTACTTGTCGCGAGGCTTTACCGTATCTCTTGATATTTACGAATAGAAAAATTTAATCAGACTGACAGACTGGACTGACTGACTGACTGACTGACAGGCAGACCGGTTTTCTTACATTTTGAACTTTTGTTATACAAAACTTTATATAAAGGTTAGGTCAACTTTCTTACTATAATATTCTTTTTCACGAATATTTTTATAAACATCATGTGCATATTAGCATATATGCGCATGCACGCACACACACATACACGCACGCACGCACGCACACACACACACACACACACACACATACACACAAATTTTGTTCTTTGACATAGTGTAAAATATTGCAAAATGTTAATAATTTTTATTTTTTTAAAGTTTTTTTAGAATCTAAAATATAAGTAGTATCTTTGTAAAAGATAAATACGCAATCCTTTGTCTATTTTAACATTGAACTAAAAATTATGCATGTAATAATACTTTATGCGTGTAATAATACTTAGTAGTATAGTCATTAGTAATGTAATGGTAGTACATACAGTGTCATAAGCGTCTGTTCCTACGGTATTGATTTTAATAACAATCAGAAGCGTCTGTTCTGACGGTAC